ATCTTACATATACTCAGAATTTTAACTATATTTTCATCTTTCTAATCCTTGTTCCTTGTAGTCTTTTGTACAAACCACATGCCATGATCATCAATGTAATGAGGAAATGATGAATAACAGAGAGATGCATCCAGATGCTGAGTAACAAATATTTATCTAATTGCTTCCTGATGCCATTGTTCAACTGCAAGTCATGCCTGCGCCTGCTATGACTTCTCCAACAGCAGTACTTCATAAAAATGTGGTGCCTGCCTCTGAATGTGATGAATGCAGTGTACATTGACCTCATCAGACCTTGAGTGAATCAGTCTGAGGGATGCTGAGATTCATCCTGTCCTGACACTGGGTGCTTCCAGCTTCCCTCATCCCTCATTCATTTTTAATATGTTTGCTTTGCTGGATTAATTTCCACACTGTAACATCCATCAGTCAGCGGGTGATGCCATTCCCTTCTGGGTGATTACGGTAAACACAATTTCTAGTTATGCGCGGAGCTTTTGCCAAACTTTTGTTGAGTTCTTGATATCATCCACCACTAGATAAATTCTCTGAGACTGACAGATTTTAGCCACAGAGTGAAATGACTTCCCTACAGATAAATATATGAAGCTCTTTGGCTGCAAATGTCCCCCTTACTCAATTAGACTGGGGTACATAAGAGCAGGGAAAATTAAGTTAAACAAAAACAGTGATAAAATCAGTGCTATAGCTGGATGCTAAGTGTAGAGAAAAGAAGTTATCCATTAATATCTTTCAGACATTTCCTTCTGCCCTTGAAGCAAACACTAAGTGGACAGTAATGCATTTTATTGGCAGTAAAAGAGCAATAAATGTTGTAAATAACAAATCAAATCAGGATCCAGACTCACAGAAAGTTTGTTACCTCCATCCTTCATTTCTTATGCCTCTTTGCATGTTTCTTTACATTACATAAGATCCCCTGTTTGTGGGTAAGTGATTCTGCCAGCCTGCCAGCCTGTGTTTTGGTTCAGTGGCTGAGCAGTTTGCTTGAAGCATGCATTGATGCTCATGGCTGCCCACGGCTGCTGTGTCCTCACCTCACCTCTCACCCTCTCTATTCTGAAGGATATTTCAATGCTGCTGCCAAAAACGGTGACCAGGCGATGGCAAACACACATCATTCCTCTGTGTTGTTTTCTGGCACTTTATCAAAAGTACACAGATACGGATAAGGCTGAAGTCCTGGGGCGGCAAATTACAGGATATTTTTAGATTAACTTTGTTTGTTTAAGCCATGAAAATATTGGCATTTGAAGTTAGGTGACAAATGTTCTTAAGCAGGCTAAATATAGCAGTGATAGGCTCCGTTTCAACTTCAGGGTCTTTTTTCATGCTTCTCCTGAGGCCAGCCTGTTCTCACTCGTAACTTATCCAACAGCGACGCATGGTCAGTGACACATTTCTTTAAGATTCAATCCAGACTTTTGTCCTGGAGTGTAGGTCCAACCACTGAAAGTGACCAATGGTGCCACCTTTGGGAGAGGTTACGACCACTAGATTAACATAACATCCACTACTTATGCAGCTAACCTACTTAAGAAAACTAATAATGTTGTCATCCACATCACCTGATCACCAGATTTTGTGGAGACACTGCCTCATGAAGAGACTGTTTATGATGCTTTTATCTTGACATTTTTTCTGTCTTTCTTTGCTTTTATTTTGAAGTAAGGTACACTTCTGATAGATTGTTTGTTACAGAGCTAGAGTTGCACTTAGGTGCTGTTCCAGCCTAAAAACATACAATCAATGACAAATATCAGTTAAAAGATGCTAAAAACACAACAAATAACACAATCAGAACACAGTATATAAAAGTACATTGTAATTGACTGATATAAATTGCCAATGCAAAGATGGTTCAAAACTTTCAAAGGACTGAAATAAATGATTACAGCTAAAATAATAAAAAAGTATCAATGCTCGATTCACGGTGATCCCGAAGAGGTGTAAGCTCTATAATGATGGTGTTTTTCAAACACATGTATTTTGTGAAAGTCAGAGTATAAACTGCATTTTCTTTATTGGCTACGCACACACACACACACACACACACACACACACACACACACACACACACACACACACACACACACACACACACACACACACACATATATATATATATATATATATATATATATATATATATATATATATATATATATATATATATATATTTACATATTGAGTCGAGTATTTTGAGTCTTTTATCTTTTTTATATTTTTCTTGCCATATTCTTACTAGTCCGCTATGTCTAACACTACAGGGAGATCTTGTCTGAGATTTGTCTCTTGGAATGTCTAAGGAATCATTGGTCCTGTTAAACTGAGTTTTTTTTCACTTGAAGCATCTTAAAGCGGAAATTGCTTTTGTCTAGGAGACACATCTGATCACTAAGGATCACCATAGGTTAAAGGCTTCATGGGTGGGCCAAAGTTTCCACTCCAATTTTGGTACACAAAAAAGATACAGTTTTACCCTACAAAAGTTACAGCCGATCACCAGGGCCGGTTTATTATTGTCTCAGGCACCCTTATTAATGTACCTGTTGTTTTAGTTAATCTCTATGCACCCAATTGGGATGATGAGGCATTTGTCGAGACAGTAACCTCACTTTTACCTGACCTAACTTCCTACCACCTGAGTATATACATACATATATATTATATATATATATATATATATATATATATATAGAAGAGAGATATTTATATTTATATCTATCTACATATATATATATATATTATATATATATATATATATATATATATATATATATATATATATATATATTTATGATGTTCTCATTAAAAGAGAGTTTGTGATGTTGGAAGTAAACTTGTTGAACTCTCGGCTCGTCTATGACACAGACAGAAAGAAGCATCAGGTGTGTTTTCTTTTGAACTCTGCAACCCGACTCCTCTGTTTCCCACCCCCAACCCCCCTCACCCTAATCCCCCCTGTAAGCCAGCGGGCAGGCCATTACTCATTCAAAGCTTCCTTTCTGAGGGTTGGGTTTACTGTCCTCTGTCTCTTCCTGTCTTTGTAGGTCAGACATGGACAGTAACAAGAGACATCGGGCAGAGACATAAACAAATGAACAGGAGACAATTAACCCCCGCTAATTACCTCTGACCTTATGTTAACTGTTTAGAGTCCAACCGAGTAGGATACTCAAGCAAAGTATGAGCAAAGTATTAATGTTCAGCTTTCACTTTTACTTATCGAAACACAGCATTAAATGACTCGGTTTGAGGCATTTAAAGGGATATTTCAGAGCTTTTAAAGTGGGGGTTTTATGAGTTTTATGTCACTGATATGTGTACTTCCTACAATTGACGGGTAAGTCTTCAATAAGCGTGTGCACTTAAAACTCATATGAGCTGCTTGATTCTGAGTCTCCAAAAAATTAGCAAACAATCACATGTCAGACCTGTCTGCAGAAAATGGTGGCTTATATAGGATGTGGTTTCTGCTGGTGGTTTCTTTTTAAAAGAGCAGAGCTGATTGTCAACTAAACTTCACAGCATCTTCTGTAAGACCTTGCGGCACTTTTTAATGTTGTCACTCACACATTAGTATATTTTAGCGACAGTTCTTATGCATTCAACAAATTGTTCTTGTTAAAAACTGTCCACTAAAGCAGAGCAAAAGCTCATGACTTTTCCCTGTACCATGGCATCAGATATGCTGTGAAATAATACCGCGCTGATGAATTTCCTTACCTGAACTGTCACACAGACGTTCACGGACAAATCTGAGCAGAAGGATGGATGTGAAATTCACACATTGGTTCACAGGGGGCCTCAGCGCTGTGGATCCTTTGTTTTTTTTCCTTCTCTCCAAAATGCCAGGTCTGGTTAGCTGATGCATGGAAAGAGAGGCGATGCAGCCACTCTGAGGGCCATGCTTCCCAGCATCCCTCCCTCTCCCTGTTCCCGCCTCGGCGTCCAAGAGCTCGGGCCTCCGGCTGTGTAGCCATGACAACCAAATGAGGTAAATGGTTGCAAGAGAATCCTCATCACGACCACCACCCTCACAGGCCTCTTTTGCAGTGTTACTGTGTGTGCAAGGGTTGTGTTGCATGCTATTCCTCCTCCAATGCAGCGATTCCTGTTCAGCATGGCAAATATTTCCCCAAGTGCATCTTTGCTTATTCCTCTCTCATGTGTGTCGTGACTGTTTCCCTTCTGCTTGACATAGCAAACCCTGAGGGGCTGTTTGGTTTCAATCTTTGATCCTGTGACTTCAGATTTCTCAAGAAAAGCATTTTATCGTGTTGGATCCCCTCATCACATGGCAAAGACATACGCTGAATAAAATGGTGAAGAATGAATGATGCGCACAAACGAAGAGAAAAAAAATCTCTAACCTCTGTCGGTAAAAGAAGCAGCTCCTCTGTGCAGCGCCCTGCATGAGCGAAAGACCTTGACACTGCAAAGAAAAAGGCACTGGAGGCGGCCTGGAAGAAAGGATTTGCAGGATAGGAGTGCATGCACTTTTTGCAGATTGTCCAACAGTCTAAATGGGAGAAATTGTGCATGAACTTGAAGATACCCGTTGTGCAAGCCATTAATTTCTCTAACACCCTTTCCAAAAATAGAGCATCCATTTGCATACCTGCAGTGTGAAATAACATGCTGAGTCGTGTTTACAGATGAGCCGCTGTCCTCTTGTGCTGTGATGAGACAAAATCTGTCAACTTCAGGAATAAAAAGGGGAAAAAAATAGCTTTTCCTATTTTCCTTATTAACACTCAACAGGAGGTATCGCTTTCCTGTGAAACACATTTAGACTGTTGTTACAGTCTCAGCATGGGAGGCGGCACATTATTGCAGGAAACTACCAATCTTCACAGTGCAGGCTGGGCTGTTTTACAGGTGCATGCTGACATATTTGCATGAGTAACTCACGGTTTTCTTCCCAGCTTTTGTGTTGGTATTTACACACCAGTAATGAAAAATGCAGACACCAGGAGAGAATAAAAGGGTTTTATTTTTTTTAACCAAACATCAATTTACAGCTACACATACAGTCTGTTTGACCGTGTCTGTTTGACATTTGGAAATGCATTCAGCTGCAGCAGCATCACACCCGCCCCTGTCTCTTCATTTACATCCGAGCCATCCTGACATTTATCTGACAAAACAAAACATTGAATTTGGTTTTTAAGCAATGTCAAGACAAACTTTGCTCAAGCAGTCAACCGGCCTCTCCGCTCTCTAGAGTGTGCAACGCCAGAAAAATTACTTTGGGGACTGACAGAGTAAAGAAACGCTTTAATCTAAAAGGTTTAATAGAAAAATAGACATGAATCTGAACTTGAAACGGTAGGTAGGTCGGTAAGTCGGTAGGTTGGTAGGTAACTTAACATTGCATGCTCTAATGTTCTGATAGTTGTTGCTTAATAAAATGAGTAAGAGAAAAGAAAAGTGTCATGCTAACATATGCTTCAAGCTAACAGCTAAGCTAACATAATAATTTGTTAATGTACAGTAACTACACAGTAGTTGGAAATCATAATGATATGTATAAAAACTCTCCCTCTGATTGCTCCACTGAAGTCTACACCTTCACGTACCAGTTAGGGTGACAGTTTCTCGTCTGTTCTCGGTCTCCAGTTAAGCCATTCTTGTAGTTTGAAGCATTGTATTTGTGATCTAAACAGAAAGATCCTGCTTCTTTTTGAAATCAGTGATTTTCTCATTTTGGGTTGAACCTTTTGTGGTTTACACAATTCAAGAACACACTTGCTGCTTTTGTAGCAAATACACAAACTGACAGATATACAGAGTAGGACTTAGTCATAACAGACTGTTTGGAATTTGTTGAATTTGACAACACAAATGGTGGATTTGGACATTATATCTCACTTTAACAAACTGATCATTTGCTAAACCCCACTTTCCTCTTGGTTAGCCTCATTCTCAAACACTGTCTCAAGCTGAAAATTTACTGCAATAAACAGCAGACTAACCGTTAACATGCAAAGTGATCAGAGTAACTACAGACGGCTTGTATTTGGAATTGATCTGATGTTTTTTTGGCTCAATGAAAAAGTTTCCCCAGCAAGTTTTGATGCTTCAGCTCTACCAAAAGTAACTAAGCCTGATTTTGTGCATCTGCACTGAATCTTTGGTTTGCATCACCATGAATCCTGCATAGAAGTGACATGCACTTCTCACAAAATTCACCAGAATCATCTTCGCTCTAATGCTGTTCTTGCTGCAGCAGTTCTCCATCATCTGTCAAATTCTACAAGCTGCATTTTCTGTGCACAGCGCTGCCAATCAGCTAGAGATACAAGACCATGAATTTCCCAAGTTAAATACAGCATCAACGGTTCTCTCCCTCCAGAAACGGAGCAGAAATGTGTTAGTTAAAACCTCTGAGCTGTTGTGATGCAGTGGAAAAAAACTGAATGCAGATCTGGTGGAATTTGGACTCAGAAATGTCAAAAACAGATATCAAACTCTGGGATTAGTCTGCTAAGTAGCACCATTCAAAAAACAGTATGCAAGTCCTTAACAGCTGTACCTTCCATCCCCTCCAATATCTCCTGTCTTTTCTCTTTTGAAGTAAATTCTAAACTTTTATCAGTCTCAAATCCAACATATTACGCTAAGATTTTGTTGCTATGGTTTTCAGCAAGCAGCTAACATTGCAAAAGAGGAAACCGGCTACAATGGCAGGCATGAAATTGCATTGCTAACTCGTGTTTTGGTGGAGTATAGCAGTGCAAATAGACTCTAATGCACGAGGGTGTAGCGCTCATAGTAGCGTTCTATAGCACCAATGCAAAGTTATCAAACCAGGCTTTAGTAGCCAAAAACAGGCTGCTGTTGTCAGCTGTAAAATCAGCTGATCTTCGTGCCTTGTGTCTCAGTCAATCATAGGAAGGGGTTTAGCAAAGGATCGGTTAAAAAAAAGCGTCCATATTGATTTTGACTTTTCTGAACACATGACATCTCCAGATCAAATATCAACAAATTACTTAAAAGGATGTGGCATTGTCAATGAAGCATGTGACATGAGTGAAAAACACATGGTGAAGATACAGTTTTAGACCAACACGTGATGAGATACATCCTTGTACACCACAGTGCTCTAAAGTTTCACTGGCTTCCTTTGAAATCTTTGTGCTCTTGGGATAGATGAGAAAAAATAACAACAGCTAAGTCCACATTTATTTCACATCATTTTTAGCACAATGCTGTGCATTCAGAGGAATGACTTGTTGTGAAGGGACGGGGGCATTAGGAATTCCCTTTAATCTTTTGTGAAGCACACTGAAGCGATGACTCTATACGCTCATGGCTCTTTCTCTATCCGCCGCACGTTTGCATTAAGAGGTCTGACATTCTTTTGGCTTCACGTCTCGAATTTGTTGAATTATTTATGCTGTAAGAGAATGTGAAAAGTGTTGCAACATACCTTTGCTGAGGGGTAAGAAAAGGGGAACCTAGATTTAATTCGCAGTTGTGAGTAATCTAACATACTCAATGTGAATGAGCAAAAGACAGCTGTGATACTCAGGCCATTTAAATTGTACCGTACTGCCGTGTCGCTCATGTGTGCAAATGCTGTTGACAGAGTACAAATTTTGATATGAGCAGCTTTACCACAAGATACAGGAAGCTCTTTAGTAATAACAGAATGATGGATCCTCTTTACTGCCGATACCGTCACGGTAAATAGCTATTTCATATGAAGGGACCTGCCAGCTGAAATACAAGTGCTGTGTTCAACAAAGTGAGACCACCTACTCAGTGGAGGTCAAATCGGGGGTCTCATTTATAAAACAGTGTGGAGTCATGCCAAAATAATTAAGATTTGCAAAGTCGTGTGCATGTACTGTTCCCTTTTATAAATCACGAACCACTCATGACTATGCATACACCCGACACACAACAAAGAAGTTCAGACACAGTGGAGTTTTCTCCTGGAAGACTCTGAAGGTGGATCCAAGATAATTAAATGTTTCCTGGACTGTTTATAATCCAACTTTGGTTACCCTCCCTCAAAACTTTAAGTATGCATGTGTTGAAGTTTGCATACCAGTGTGCACATATGACACTTTCAGATCATGTTTTGTGCATACACAGTGTTCATAAATGAGACCCCCTGACCTTGTGCATTTTCTCTGTGTACCGTGATTTGGCTCAAATGCTGCCTCTCATTTCATAGCTACTCCTACATCACTAAACAAATCTAATCCACAGTATTCCTTATATATGCAGTCTCTCTTTGACCTAAGCCCTAATCTTTGGCAGATAAAGACAAAACCAGTCTACATAGTGTTACTAGGGGCTCGCCAGAATCAGGTTCACCATGAAAGTGCATTATTTGACACAATATTTCTAAGAAACTCTATCTTAATATCGTATTTGCCATAATATTCAAGATTACACTGTTTTTGGATATCTTTCTATACAAGTCACAGTTCTCAATCTACAGAACAAACCTTAAATCCTTTAGATTTATGATGTTTGTTTGACTGTACATTGTTTTCTTTGTACATAAATTTGTGATTATATAATGAATATAATGCTGTAAGATTGTGTGGAACCCACTGGGAACTTCCTGCCTACAGTATGTCAGCTACCTACCATCTCGCCATTGTCCAACTCCTTTTTATTCAACTGAAACCTCTGCAACTTTCTAATTTTACACCCAGAAGCAGCAACAGTATTAGCCTTTTTTTCTGGTGCTTGTGAACCACGTTTGAATTTTAGGGAGAGATGATGTTCAGAAAAGACACTGAAAATGGCAGGATATGCCAGCATATCATGATATAGGCAGTTAAATACTGAGGTCATTGGTCACTGTGACATCCATATTTAATGGGATCGAGAACTGTGTCCTTCACAATTAAAGCCCTGATGGAGATCTAATACTAGTTGTCATTTTACAGGATTTCAAACTCCAGAGTCCGAGCTGTCTGGCTATCAGCTTGTCTAAGATGAAGGTTTTTACCTTTCCCCTTTACTCAAAGGCATGAAGTTTCTAAACTCATGTAGGCCTAAAACATTGAGCTAGTGCCACGAGTCATAAAATATGACTTAAACTCTCACGGCCAAGAATACTATCACTATCATTAATTTTTAATGAGACTTTGGCTCATTCTTCGGGAACGTCCATCTTCACCCTATTCCCATGTCAAGAAATCTCCAACTCTACCCTAGCAATATCTGTCCACTTAACAGTCCTGGAGATTTACCAGGGAGGAAACAGCATGTAACACACTGTCTGCTGAGTCCTCTCATAGTTTCAAGTCCCAGGACCACGCTGGCCCTCAAAAGTCAAACCACTCACTCCTCACTCTCCTCCTCATCCCCCTTGGTGCCTTTACTCCAGCGCTGGAAGCAATGAACAGTTGAAGCCAGGAAGAAGCTGGTCATGATGGCCACTACCGACACTGAGATGCCAGAGAAAATGATGATAAGCAGGTCCGTTAGAGTCAGAGTGGCCTGACACTCACGGAAGCTGTCCTTGGAGAGCTGGGCCAGGGAGACACGACGGCCGTCCATGGGGAGGGAGCACTCCATGCCTTCCACCCCTGCATCAAAACAAGAAATGAGGTTAGACGGTTTTACCAGGCCAGGGTCATAGTGATTGAATCGTGTTATTCTTATGGGCTTTCAGACAAACATATTCACAGAGTAACCTTTAAATACATCATACAGATCATGTTCATTCGCCTGTGCAGAGCAGTACACGTCTCATAAATGCCGACCTTCATTATTTCACTTTTATCTGTATGAATTTTACATCCCTGATAGAGGGATGTGTGTGAGCATAGACTATATATTTTGTGCTGTTTTATGAACAGGACATTGTATCTTTGGACATAGCGTAATGCAAATACAAGATACAGCAAAAAACACGAAAACAACTACAAAACAAAAATGCTGCAAATCCAGACTTCAAAACTGAAGCGCTCTTGGTCTGTAAGGGTGCATTTGTTTCATTCATGTAGCTTCTGTTGCATTAGTTTTAGACTAGAGCCTTTTTCTCTGAATTTGCAGCACATTTTCCCTGTTGCAGGCTTGGGAATGAAAAGTGTATCTCAAAGCATCACATGACACAAGCGCCCCCCCGCTTTATTTCCACATTATTTGCTATTCTGTGTAATGTCAACGTACTGTCTGCAACTTGATGTAGCAAATCAGATGAGATGTCATCTGTCTACTTCACTACCTGACTTTAAAAGGCTACAAAAAGGTGTGCAAGCTCAGCTGTCCTTTAATTATGGTGAATTAAAGCTCCTGCAAGGAACTTTCGGATTGTGTCAGTTTTGGCACCACCTGTGGTCAAATCAGTCATTGCTCATCCTGTCCTCTACATGCTTGAATAGTGTCATTTTTTTCTTTTTTAGAAAACTGGTGACTGATAGCAGAAAGTAGGATGAGAGTTGCTGTTAAAAATATTTTAATATTAGCAAATAGATTAAAGGAACCACTGTATCCATAGGGGGCACAAAAATGTATAGGGGAAAGTGAGGTAACTTAAGCCTAAGGGTAAGTTGAGCCATCCCCTGTTGCTTGAAAATGGTAAAAGAAATTGATCATGCGACGAAATATTTAGGAGATGGGCATCAATTCATTTAGTCTGTGAATGTTAGAAGTACATGGGTAAAGGGGTTAGACATTTATTTCCAAAAAGCCATTTTTCACTCTTTAAAGTGAATTTAGTCTGTCATACGTTTTATTAGAATTGTGTTCAGACCAAAAAAGATAATTTAAAATTTGTATTACACTTCAATTGTGGTATCTATGAGCTACAACATGAGGTCAAAAACCTAGCATTAAAGTCCACCATTTTAGCTTAGAGGACTAATTAAGTCACAATAGTAGTTCTGGGGTAAGTTGAGCCATTTGGCCAGGGGTAAGTTGAGCCAGTGGCTCAACTGAGAAAGTAAAGGAGTCCAATGAGAGGATCAGAGGTTTAGTTCATATTGTTGAAATGTTTTACTTTTTCTTTTCAAAAATACAGCTGTGAATGTTCTTAATCACATTCTCATGTCAAAATGGCTTTTTACAAAACAGCTTTTTAGCAGTTATACACATAATAATAGAAAGAATTATTGTACTAGTTGAAAAGCATATAATAGAAAAAATGCAGATGAATGTGAAGAAGTGACTGTTATTTAGGGAGAAAGAAGGTGAGGGAGGGCCCCCCCATACGGGGTAAGTTGACCATAGGAGACCCCTTTTATTGATATGCCATATTATCAAGACAGTTATGTTTACACTCATTCTGTTGGTTTGCAGTGATGCACAACATCTTGAAATATATGCAGATACACTAGTTAGAGACAAAACTATGATTGCCTTGATATAGTGATCCCAAATATGAAAAATGGCTCATCTTACCCCACTCTGCCCTTCTACTAAAGTTCCTCACTGGAGTTTGTAGAAAAATTCTGTACATGTTTTTAAAGTCAGCAGTTGCATCAAAAGTCAAAAAAGGTTCGGAGCCACTGCTCTGATGAAAAAAACTGTCTTGTTTGAGCAGCATGGCCCCTAATGGCCACCGTAGATTTCAATATGAAGATGTTGTTGCCTTTAATCGGAAAATAAACATCTCCAAAAAAATCTGGAGGGAGGTTTCTGTTTCTCTTTACACAACAAAGCCCAGAGTTGTTTGCATGTGAGAAGTGTTGTGTTGTAAAAGAGCATAATTTACCAAAGCTCTGCAAAGTGGGAGCTGATTTAATATCTGTAAGGTCAATCAGAAGTCTTTACTTATGAGCTGAAGTTGCACAGTGTATATAGTCCACCCACCCACAGCATGACTACATCTTCACTGTGGGAAGAAAGTCCAAATACTGAGAAACTGTGAGGCACAGTGATACTATGGTCTGTTATCTTGGCTATCTCCTGAGCAGAACATGGCCAAATTATGATTCTGAGCTCTTATCCTTGTCCCTGTTTGCCTGTTGTGAGTGTCAGCTCTTACAGATTGTAAGTGTGAGCCGCTCTGGACGGCTGCCTCTCTGTCGCCCTGACAAGACAAATCTGACAGCATGTTTTGAATGAGGTTTCCAGGATGAAATAAACATCTGTCTGAATCATTTTAATTTCAGCTGCCAGCAGGACATTGTAAACCTCAGAGGATGTGCCTTGCTGTTTAATATGAGTCCTGGTTACGTCTCAAAAATTTACCGATGTATCTGTAAGGGCCATCGTCTGAGGAAGGGGCACCTTGACCAAACTCATCTCAAGATGAAGGTTTAATAAATCAGTTTGTGCTGCTCGCCGTGTCTCGGTCACTTTCACATAGTTTATTGTTCGGACATCATTTCAGAGAAAGAGGGCAGTGACTGTATCTTTCAAGGGTACATGTATTCCTGTAAGTCCTCTGTAAAAGTCCTGATTATGGATGACACAGTCTGATGTCAGGTTTAATATCTTAAGAGACAAAGCAATGACGCAATAGCTGAATATGTTTTTCAACTCGCATTATTGATTTCTGTCTTTACTTTTGACTTTAATTCGATGCAAGTGCTTTCAAGAATCTTGCATTGCTGCGCCCAGCCGATGAATAATGCATCTCTCCTTTTTTTTCTGACATGTTCCACAGAATACAGAAGCAAATACATTCATATTGTGCTGGATGAAAAACTAGACATATTGGTGTGAATGTTAGCTTATAGGTGGGTAGAGATGGAGCCTTGCAATGTGGGTGGCTACTTTCCACAGATACTGCACATGCAAATGCAAAAACACTCAGCTCCACAGTCAGCACTATTTACAGCATACCTTTTTTGTTATACAGATGCAATAGCTTCTCACAGCATTCACGTTCTTTATGCTCACTCATAAGAGAAATAGTACACATGTCAGGAAAGGTATACTTTATACCGGTCATTGCAAATACACTGAGTTTCTCCAACTTGTTCAAGCTTTGACTGAGAGTGTTTAAGAGACCAAACTTCCTCCAGCAGTATCCGCCATCAAAAATAGATCATACAGGGCCTGCAGTAAACCTCTGCAGCCAAAAATACAGACACCAGCAGTCACAACCAGAGGCTGTCAATAATCAGCTGCAGGCATTAGCAATAACTCACAGATGGAGCTAACATTTGGTGTAAACAACCAAAAGTGCCATGTGACTTTTCTCATGATCAATTGTGAGATTTGCATTAATTGTGTTGTAATGGATATTCAGAGAGGGAGTGTTTATTTTCAAATGCTAAAAAATTTAAAATGCTTTAAACTTCATTCATATAAGCTTGCTGTGAGCTCTAGTTTCAAATAGCTTCATTTGTTTTTTTTGTTTTTTTTTTTCATTTATCATTTTAATCTTTAGTATAAGAGGATGAAATATGAACCAGCTATTCATATCTATAAATATTAGAGATAATAAAAATAGCTGAAACATCATCAAAAGTGTCAAGTGTCAGTGGAAAAAGTAATAAAAGGAAATTATCAAATGCGTGTAATTGGTTGCTATGCCATGTGATGACCCCTTACATTATTAATTAGCCTTGTAATTGAACTCTTTGAGGGCATGATAAAAGTTAGCGACACTAATCCCTTAATACAACATTCTCACTTCTCTTGTGAGATTCAATTAGCAGTGAAGGAAGGTCATAGATATAGACATACTGCAGAGCCACAATTTTAGGTCAGTCAGTACTTTAAAGTTGCTTTATTATTGGGTGTAGGGCTAGTTCAGGCAGGCAATCAAAGGGATATTCCGGTGTAACATTAAGTTAGGGTCAAACACACCCTAACACCAAGTTAGACACCCCCTTGAGAGATGAATGATGCAGACCACTTGTTTCTTTAGATACACCAACTTTAGTAACAACCATGAGATAGCACAGCGGTCTAAGAATCCTTGGGCAAACCTCAACCAAAAAGCTACTCTATAGCCACAAATAATGCCCAGAGCAAATTTCTTTAGCAAAGAGACCAAACACAACTCACCCACTCTCTTCCAGTAGCCGCTTGTTTGTGGTGGAGTCCTGACAAGTCGATCACCGAGTGCAGAAGATCATTTCCATTAAGTAATAATCATCAGAATAATCATTTTGCACAGCAGACGCAGTAGTTCTTCTGCCTTAGTGTCTTGTTCTGATTGCGTTTCCATCAAGTAATGATGATAAATGATCTTCCTTGACCTGCAAAATTCTGCTGCACTTCAGGGAAATAACCCGCAGCATTTGGAGATCAATTTGTCCAGGCTCTCCTACAAACAAGCAGCAGCTGGAGGATAGTGGGTGAGTTGTGTTTAGTCTTTTGCTAAAGAAATCAGGAAAACTAAAAAGATGTTTGGTGGCTCGTGCTATGGCTGTCACCCTATATGTACTGTTGATGAAGTTAGGTGCTGTTCTGAGCATTATTTGTGGCTATAGAGTGGCTTTTTGGTTGAGGTGGGTGTGTGGGGCTGTAGACCGCTGTGTATTGCTATCGTGTGGTCATTACTAAAGTTGGTGTAACTAAAGAAGCAAGTGGTCTGCAACATTCATCTCTCGAGGGGGTGTCTAACTTGGTGTTAGGGTGTGTTTGACCCTAACTTAATGTTACGCCGGAATATGTCCTGTACATGGAGGTTCTTTACTGCTGCTCTCCCCACCTCAGGTATTAGCATTCCTCATATGCATCTAGATTTCTATGCATAGAAATAACTTCTGTTTGGTCTCAAATAAATACATGTTTGTATTTTATTTCTTCATTAGAAACTTATCTCTGCATTGACTCACCTTGGCTCTTTTCACTTACTCTTTCTTGCATCCAACACATTTTCATTGGGGTTGTGTGGGTGCTCTAAAAATGTTTGCACAACACATCTAATAGAGCCAGATAATCCAATGGCCAAACAAGGCCTTTTTCCCTCGTTGAGGTTACATTAAACAGCAGTGACGTATGAATTGACAAAGTTTATTACAAGCAAACATGAAGAAAGCTTAATTACCCACAGCCACAGATGGTGCTGATCATTAGGGACCATTGTGCACTTAATCAGCACCCAATTCCCCTGTCATCCAAACACTTTTTGGCATGAATAATTTGTCATTTACAAAAGTATAAAAATTCAGTATAAACAGCAGCATCATTTCCAAAACTATCCTGGCTTTACTGCCTTCAGAAAGAATGACTCAACAGGGGTTAATTGCGCATTTGTTGGTGTCGATTTTCAGATGAAAATGAAATGTCTCCCTGTGCAACAACGAGGTGCATTAATGTGGTTTTAATAATTTACCATGAGAATGAAGGTGGGTAGCACAATGAAATCAGCCTAAGCTTTAACTACACATGCAGTTTTCTGGATTTGAAAATAAAAAAGCTGTAAGTTTCTGTTTTTATATATAACCTGTTTAAACTAATCAGGCATGATTTTACAAATGGTGGTATTGTAATTCACACCTAGCCGGAAGTGATGTATCCTAAACAAGCTGCATAGATAAATCAATCAGTCTTGGATGAGGATCACATCAAGTGAGTCAGAAGCAAACCAAACACCGAGTCCAAGGCTCTCAGCTGATGAGGAGCCAATACAAACACTCCTGGTGCAGCCAAGGATGAGCACACGGATTCCTGGATTGATTAAATCCATGTGTAACATATGCTTTTAGAATTAAATGATCAAAACATGATCATAACCTGCTTTAAATTAAAACGGCTGCAACTGAGTAGCATGCAAGTCCACAGCAGAGGCCATACTGAGCAGTTTGCACAGTGCAGAGATGGATAACACTACAAAACATTTATTATCCACAGGATTGAGACATAGGGCTCTATTTTCGTGCCTCACCGGAGACGTTCCGCAGGCGCGGTGTAAGGTCCGCCGCGCCAACAAGGCGTTCCCCAGCACAATTTGGTATTTGGGTGAGCGGCGCAGCCCGGCTTAAGTATCCCCCCTCCCTAACTCAGCTCCTCCCAGTGGCGTAAGTCGTAGTGAGGGAGGAGAGAGGGCGTGGAGTGGGTTTAACACAGCCAAGACCTGTTTTCACCAATCACATAAGCTCCTCTCCTTGCCTTTAAATCCGCCACAGGCGAGGCGTATTACTATTTTCGTGAAGTAGTCAAAGAGATCGAGAGATATCTGAAGACAGTAATGCCACAAGATGGCGACAGAAGCCAGCCCCTCAACAAGTGTCACTGTAAGCGCTGCATTGGGCGTCCTCCACACTCTCTCATCTGAGCACAGATGGATTTGGAGTGTGTAATGTTGGACCCACTGGTAAGACAAACACCCTTTTCCACAAATAAAGACACTCACATAAAGTTGCATATATTCAAACCTCACGTGACAAAGGTGGGTTGTGCGCACAGATCACAACATAAACTCCATAAATGGCATTAAAATCAGAACCACTTGTCCGTAAATGACACATCACGCTCTGTGGCCTGGCTCTTTCTTTCCTAGATGATGGCATATAAAATAAATTTGGCTCACAAAACTGAATATTATAATATCCGTATGTCGGCTTAAATTAGATAACTCATCTGAGCACTGAAACAAATCATCTGTTCAGCTGCTGCAGCAGGATGGAGAGAGGACACGGAGACATGTCCAGGTCGAGCTGCGCGAGAAATAAGAGAAGAGGAAGAAGAAAGGGAGGGAGACGAATTAAATATCTTGTTAAATTCATCATGTGTGTTTATTTACTAGATATTTAATTTAATTTAATGCGGTTTCAGCTGTGTTGATTCGGTCAGGTTGTGTGTCCAAACGCGTGCCAAACGCGCTCATCAGATCAGATATAGATCAGAATATATCTATAACTTAATGTATGTGCTGACTCAGATTATTAGTTGTTGTTGATTATTTATTGCACTGAAATGTGCCTGACACTGTGGAAACCTGCCGGTGAGGCATTGGTGACGTATGCCGGTACGCCGCCGGTCTACCAAAATACTACTAGACCAGCTGCGCTCCGCCTGCGCTGAAAGCTGACCAGGTTTAATTCGGCGAGCTTTCAGCGCACTTTACATGCCACTGGCGAGCACGAAAATGTCACTGCGCCCGCTGATTCTGTCGACACCTCCCCCTGCCACACCACTACGCCCAGCTTGGCGGATCTCGGTTCGCCTCCGTGCGCCTCAGTCCACAAAAATACCAAACTGGCTGTACGCTGGGCTCCGCCAGACGAAAATACAACTGCGCGGGTCCGCCACCCTCCGTCGCCTCACCGGCGTACACGAAAATAGAGCCCATATTGTCACTTACACCAAATTGAAGCTAATAGAAAATCAGAGGTGTACAAATGGAAACCAACTCACATCTACACACTTGGCCAATGTCAGAATGAACCTTCTATTTAAAATGCTGCAGCCTGCTCCATTAATGCTTTATAAAATCTCATCATTATCATATGCATTGTCACTGATGTCAGCTCTGCTCTGCATCTTGAGGGTGTAGAAATTGAACCATTGCCTGAAAGTAATTAACTCTTCTGACATACACGGTCCTGACTGAATTGTATCTTGTGGGTGGCCGTCCAAACTAAAAAAACTGCTTATGATGAAACAATGGTGAGGGTAGAAATAGGGTTTCTATTAAACAGCAGACAAGCAGAACACCCTGACCTTATTGTGATTGATTGTCTGAGAGCAGTTTTAGTATAACATTAAAAAAAAACCATTAATGTCCCTGCCACATTTCTGAGTAAACATTTGGACGCATTAAAAATTCAATATAATGAAATACCTGTCCATAGTCCGCAAAGACTGTACTCTAAAGTAGCTCAACTCCTCAGGGACCTGGGGCCTCATGTATCAACGCTTGCGGCGCAAGAAAACCTTGCGTACGCCAAAATCGGCGCACACGTCCAGATTTATCATCGCTAATCAACGCAAAGTCAGGAGGTGGTGTAGAAATTGGCGTTGAGCAGATATTTGCGTTGACTGTGATTCGCACTTTGGCGACGCTGTGTGGCGGTGTTTGGTGAATCACTATGTGACAAGCGTGCACCACATCCCCGTGGCCGAGCAGCACGTCGCCCCACATGACAAACCAGCAGCAGACGGAGGGATGCGAGCTGATCCCTGCCGGGCCGCCGTCCTCGCGCGGGAGAATCTCATCGCCACAGTGTGAATGGGTAAGAAGTGAATACACAGTTCATTGAGCCAAATTAATTTATTTTCTCCACCAGACGCTCGCGGGGATCAACGAGCCGGTCCAGCCGCTCGTTGATCCCCGCGATCCCCCTGATGATTTCTTCCTGCGATTGCAGGACCCCCTCCGCGAGGACCCTTCCGGGTGGTCCAGCGGAAGCGCCGCGGCTGGTGGACGCTCCACCGCTTGTCGGCGCGCTGATGCTGGTGCTGGTGCTGGGGCCGGGGGCCGGGGTGGCCCGAATGCCGCTGGTCCTGGCCGACGACTCCAAGCCGGCGGACGGGCTGCCGCGGGCCGGGGTTCCGCAAGCCGGCGACACGGCCGACACATTGATTTCTGTGACACAATAAAAATATTTGTTTATTTCAATTCCTGCTTCTGTGTATCTGTTGCGTTTACATCTCTCTCCACGGTATCATAGGTAATGTAATCCAGTATTTCGAGGTCAGTTATGCACATTACAGTTGTTTATTGCATAAAAAGTTATCGAAAAATGAAGTTAAGGGCGAAGTATAAATCACGTCTTAAAATAGACTGAATCCCGACGTTGAAATGAAGTATAAACTTAGACTAGATGTCTAATATACGTCTTTTGCTCAGTGGGATGACAAAGCATGTGGACATTTGTGTGGCACGCCACTTACCCTATAATAATAATCGCCACCACCCGCTGCTCAAACGGTGTGAGGGTCTCCTCCCCCGGACCCCCACCTGTCTGGCCAGTACTCCTCCGGAGGGCAGCTGTACGCCGCTTGACCTCCACCTTGAGGTCCGACCACTTTTTTTTAATCTTCGCGGGGGTGCGTGTCTCGGAACCCACCGCATTCACCCTCTCGCAAACTTTCTCCCACTCCAAGCGTTTTTGTTTTGCACTGACGCCACTGGACAGGCTGCCAAACAAAACACGCTGTCCGCCACCAGCACCTCCACCTCGCACGCCGTAAATTTAGTTTTTCTTGTCATTTTGTCTGCGTGCGAGGACAGGGAGACCCTATTTAAATAAATCTGCATATTTATAGGAGGGCGTAACGGGGGCGGGCCCAGTCACTCCGACATCTGCGCTCAATTCCACGCTGATTGGGATTTATCAAGGAAACACACGTGGATTTCGGCGCCCGCACACATTGATACATACGGATTTTTTTCAGCGTGACGGACCTTGCGTGCGCTCGTTTCTGGTATGAGTTCCACGCAAGTATTGATACATGAGGCCCCTGGTCTTTGCCTTCGAGACTTAGCTGTCTGGTCTTGCCTGTCCTACATACCCCTTTAATATCGTGAATGAAATTATCCTGGTGGACACCTGGTTCCAGCAGCAGTTACAGGATTTAAACCTTCACTTTGATCAAAGACCAGGCGAATAGGAGTATCTGGGCTGAGATGTAAAACCTACACTGGAGTTGTGTGAAATGGATATTCACACACAGCTAAATATTTGCATTTCATTTCTGTAGAAATGTGCGACTTACATAAGAATATGTAGGATTTGTAGCAAGGGGGGATTGGATCTCCCTACTAAAGCTACACTGACACTGAAATGAAGCAGAATAACTCAGCAGGGTTCAGGTTTATAAGAGTCTGTGAAAGATTAGGATTTACTGAACAGACCAAAAGTGGAGTCTTCTGGAGCAAATGTCATAATTGTAGTAATTCAGAATACAATGTGCCGCCTGACAGAAAAGACTCTGAGAAGACTCTGAATGTGACATGCATCTAGAAAAGTAGTAATCTATAACTCAGGTCCTGTATGGAAATGCTTCTCATTATATCCCTGTGAGCTGCTTTCTGTCACTTTGAACCTACTACAGCTTAAAAGAAGTGCAGCAGCTTTGAGAAAACAGTGTCAAGTACTCATAAAGATCTGACACTTTTACTCAAAGTTAGTGTAAAAAAAAAAAAAAAAAAAGGACCAAAATATCAACAAACTGGCAGCTAAATGACGGCAGTAAAATCCCATGACTGTTGCTTTCCAAGCTACACCTGCTTGATATCTCTTTTGCAAATAAAAGGCAATGTTTGTAACTTCTCCTCCATCACAGGACTGTTGATCGAATATAAGCTTAGCTGTAGCTATAGTCCTGTTAGCATTGTAAAATGCACGTTTCTTAAAGTTAAACAAGTTTGGTTTTGGTCACATATACATTCTAGACCTTGGAGATCTTTGCTGCTGCTCTCCCTGCCGTGGCTTTTCATGCACATTAAAAAGAGGGCATGTGTGCTCTCCCTGCTTTAGGATTTGGCCATAGACTGTATATAGAATGGACGCCGTCTGCCTCCTCGCTGGGTGAAGCCACTCCGAGAACAGCACACCCTGTTGACGGGCTGCAGTATAGGTCGTAAATTCCTCCTCCTCCAGCAATCCTTATGGGGCTGTGGACAAACTTTTTACACATTTATTACACAGAATATACATTTTTCTCCCCCGTCTGCGATGTTGACATGTAGTTATGTAAGACTGGTTTGTGCTCAAGTCCTCTTTTTTCTGTGCAGCTTCATTTTTAAAAGTTATTAGAGGGTTCATGTTTTCTATGATTGACATTGGTACAGCCTATGGGCGAACAAAGATGGCATAGCTCAGCTGGGGGATACGCTGTTTGAGCTAAGCATCATCACAGCGACTCTCTAGCCGAATGTGTGCAATGCTACTGTGCAATGTTGGTTTCAGGAAGTGGAGAAAAAATGGGTTATTACTGAGAGCTTTTCAGCTTCAAATCAGTATACTGGCGGAAGGTGAAACTGAGTTGTCCACAGTATATACAGTTCATGGATTTGGCATTTCATGTAAGCACGTGGAAAGGCAGGGAGCTCTCAGATCAGAGTGATATCCCTAAAAATAACCAATGCATGCAAGTAAATTTTTGACAAAAGTGGGCACAGCTCCTGATTGGTCTATTATCTTCACACACAGGATACTTTTGTTTCTGAGGAAGTGGATCAGGACAGTCTCCGAAAATAAGATGATCTTCTCTTTGGGATTTAAAAAGTCCCTAGACGTCAACACCAGAAAGCTGCCTGTCTCACGAATTGAGTGGATTTTACAGTCAAAGGTGTGTCATATCTTTCTATTTTTAGGGTTCATTTTCTGATTGAATGATGATTCCAGTTTTTTGAGAAAACACACCCTTTCTTATTATAATCAACACATATTAGATTATGGGAGAAAATTACTTCAGTGCTAGATCACTATTTTTTATTAGTTCAATAAGCAAATAAGATAAAAATATATACTGTATTTATTAGCTTCACTTGTTTCCAGTTTATTTAATTAATCGTCTTTTGCACATTTAAAACTACATCAGCACACTGCAGTCTGTGAGTAGACATACAAGGATTATACACCGGGTCAATTAAAGGTTAAACATTTGCTTAAGGCGTTCCTGTTAATCCCACCACCAAAACCTAATTACTGTAAAAAAAATAAAAATAAAAAAAAATCCCTTAAATATGGCCTAAAGGGTCATCATTCAAACCAATGAATGAAGAAAAGAAGAACATAAGGTGGACTTGTGGAAGTGCTCAGCATGTTTCTTTGTGGAGCCATTTTTTAATAACAGCCACACTCAGAGTGAATCGATATCAGCTTTGAGTTCATAAATGACCCCAAATTCTGCTATAAGCTAAAATAGTGACACTGGAGAAGTCTACTACACAACAGCAGCATGATTCATGGCACTACACTATCGAGTGTGTCAGCTCACACTGCTATGTTACACTCCTAGTCTGGACAGTTGATGGATTACATTAGGATTACAGCCAGCCGTGGGGATGTGCTATCTGCTGTCCCAGTCCTGATTGATCTACCTGGCTGTGACAGACTGATATCAGAGACTTGTTTCTCTCCCTTCCCGGACACTGTCTGTGCAGATTGATCTCTGCACCAGCAATAAAGGTACATCACCATGATCATGCAACTACAGACTCCTGCAAGAGTTGATATTTATGCTTAAGTTTACACCTGCTTGGTGGGAATCCAGTTGTGATAATGACTCACTAAAGTGTCTCTATCCTACATTATTTAACACAAGGAATGAACCACTAAGGATAGGAAGAAAGCAAACAGGGTTTAAGAAGATGGAGGAATTGATCATGTTAGTTTTATGTTATGTTATGTTTCATTTGGCAGTTAGTTTTTGGCTTCATTTGGGATTTTTAGTTAAGTTTAGTTTTCGTATTTTTTTAAATGCTAAGATTGAGATGAGTTTTTATGAGCATTAGTGTTAATTTTAGATTTTGTAGCACAGACACTAGTCAGAGGCAAGATACTCCAGAAACTGATCAACGAGCATAACAAACTCAACACATCTTATTTGGCAATTTGCCCCATCAAAGACAAGACTTAGTTTGATATCAACTAATACTAATAAAAAATAATTAATGCTATTTATTGGAGTGTGGGCTCACATATTTCATGCCAGCGTCAGTGCCGAGGTTGGGCCACTCCAGTTGAAAAGGGTTAGAAACAATCCTGGGGCCTATTCTACGAAGCAGGATTACTGCTTAGCGAGGTAACTTCGAGGGTAAGTTCAGGGTTTCCTGTTCTACGACGCGGGTTCACTTCTAAGCGAGGCGAGTCTCCATGGCAATGTACGCTAAACGGCTAACCTGCTCCGGGGATTGAACTCACCGAGTATAAAAACCCCGCCCACTGACCAATGAGCTCTCTCGAAAAATGGCTTGTCCATTCTTGGAGGATCCTATAGACCTCGGTGCTCGCATTATCCGAGGAGCACTCCGGCGCGTGAGAGTTTTCAGGCTCCGCACGGACCCACTTACTTTTCCGGATTACCACCTTTTTGAAAGGCTCATTTGGCCTACATATCACACTGAAATGTAAACACAATAGAAATGATCAAATGAATGAATTCATCTTGGAAATGAATTAGACATGTCTGGTGCATGTTAAAAGCGCATGTTGAACAGTGTTATTTCAGGGTGATAATGGCATCAAAGATTTTTTGCGCACTATACTTAAGCATTGAGACTGTCTGCAATTTTCTGCCAGCATTCCTCCCGTGCTTTTGCAGTGGTGACGTGTTGCTTTTGAGGTTTATGATAGATTTGAATTCTTTTGAATTAATGTAGCATTAATGAATTCGTTTAAGTATACGTTCTTTGACTGAATCGGAATAAATGTGTCTAAAAATCAGTTTTTTTAACAAAGCACAAACAGGATAGTATTTAAAGAGCAGCAACACGCTTCAAGAGAGTCTCACTCAGGATGTTAACTGTCTGCAATTGAACAAAAGTTGTCTTGGTGTCGTAAATGTTTCAGAAAGACCTTCAGCAAGCTTTTTAAAAGTACCCTTTAAGATACATGATAGTGAAGAGAAATGGAGTCAACCCCAGGTACACAAAGAGCATCCTCTATGTAATGACAATTATCCTGTTTTTCCAAAGCCTTATTCTTATTTTTATTCAAGGTTTAGTGTTCCTGATTTCTTTAGTTTTCATTAACCTTGTTGTTAAATTAAGAGGCAGATAAAGAAGAAGTCAGAGAGAAAAACGGTATGAGATTCATACAAGACGAGAGCAGGCGGAGGGCTGGAGAGGAACAGACTGCGTATGAATGCACAATATGACAAGCATTCATGTGACAAGGGGGCGAGAGTGAATCATTCAGCAGGGGATTCCTTCTGCGTGGAAACTCGCTGACATCACTATACCATGGGTGTATTCAGATCTCATTACTAAAGCACATATTCACACATGGAAATGTGCTGATACAAGAGAGGACGCTCAGAAAGGGACAATAACGACTCCAACCGAATGTTTGTCTACTGTTGTATCATATTAGGAGGAAACAGCTAAATATGCTGGTCTTAGCGATTCATGCTTCACACTCAACCGGGCACAGGCAGAGAGGAAAGTACCCATCATGCATAGTGCTGCACACCGCCAGTAAAATAAAGCTTTTGGCTTTTCACCTTTTATTTCTGACACTGGCAGATTATCCTTCCCTGCTCCTGTACATGCAGCAGCTGATGCCATCGCACTGTGTAATTCAGTCCACCTTTTCACACTCCACTCTCCCTCGCCGGCTCTGGCTGTCTCTCTCTCACATCCTTACTTTAAATAAACATCAAATTAGGCCAAGATAAAAGAAGCTGTCAGCCCGAGTTAATGGAATAGATATTTTCTCATCACAAACCAGTTGAGTAGTAAAAGATAGCAGCGAGGAGTGAGAGTCATATGGGGCAGTGTGGTATCATGTGCATGTGCAGCCTTCTCTCATTCTCAAGACTTTATTTGTGGTCCAATATCTTAAACTTGATACTACAAGTCCCCCTTAAGACCGTGTCTAAGTGCACGTACTGTTTTAATTTTAAATTAAAGTCTGAAGACACAATAAAAAGAGCAAAAATTGAAGAAATTTGCAGGGCTGAGGTACCATGCAGTAAGAATGGAGTTGTACCTTACTGTCATGCAGGAGTAACATAACTGAAATGACTGAATTAACTGGTCATATTACATTACTGGCACATGTTTGGTAAGTTATCAACTCGTCGGTGAATGTTGCACGTTGAAGCACTATTTACCGCAAAACCTTTGTTGACAAGAGTATTTAAAATCCTACTTAATTATTTATCAATGAGTCTCTGACCTTGACCAGTTTATTTGAAGTCTATTACAAGTTCAGACGACATGCTTTAAGCTGTTTTAGAGCTGGAGACAAAAAACAAGTAACACTAAAGCAAACACATATCCAAACTATAGAAAACAAATTGTAAAGAAAAGTCCTAAAGTGTCATGCCAGGGCAGGAGTAATAGTGACGCCTCAAAACTATCTTTCTACTGTAAACCAGCTTTTATTCACCAAAAATAAAAGAGCTTTGGTTAAATAGAAGGATCGGATAAGGAAAATAAAAATACTCGAGAGTGCAGAGCACACAAGTATGATTTCACTGTTGAATGGATGGATAACGTGCTCATCAAGGATGATCATATCCTCATCAGAAACTGGGAAAGGCATGAAAAGGAACTCTTAACTTTTCTTTAGCATGTGGGCTACCATTAGCTTTATTAGCAAAAACAAACAAGTGACAAAAAAGCAAAAAGACGCCCATTATCTTCAAACAGGCCAACAAAATTTGGTGGCTAATGCTACGTTACATATTTAGGAAGTTTTTTTGCCTTTAGCTAAACTCCAAAAAAGCCACTTTAATTTAGATATTAACACTAAAAGGGTCTCTAGGCTGGGTACTTGATCTGGCAGACCGAATTCCTCCAAAATGGATCACTTTATCCCATACAGTAAATCACTGTTAACAGCAATCAAGGCCTAATTGAAATGAGCTGCCACTCCCACAAGCTGAGGCCGACTGAGGACAAGACGGAGGAACAGCTAAATCAATTAGATGGTGTAAATTTTGGTAATTCCAATCAGACCATTGTCTTTATTTAAAGAGTGAAGCATTGGCTATTTTTCTGAATCAAAGCAATGTTCCTGGGTCAGCGGTTACCAGTAATCGTCAAAGGCCAGTGGTAAATTTAGCTTGATGTCAGCTCCTGATCAGTTTATAGTCTTGTTTATAGATGTCGTCTGGCCCTGCAGGTCTGCCTTCCAACATCATCACATTGGTTTGGATGATTTATTGGGTACCAGCACACAGTCTGCATAGTCTGTAAGCAGAAATTTATGGCTCTGCGATTGCCTAATCCGATACAGTGACGGTCATGACGGCCTAAAAAGATTGTACAGTCTGACCTCAACATGATAGATTCTTGCTTACCTACTTAACTGTTAATCCACATATAAGCCTTTACCTACAGTGGTACCTTGACTGCTGTATTTTGCAGTTCAGGGACATGGATCAAGCCACCTCATTTGACAACCAGAATGTGTTGGAATTTGTTTGCATTGCAGTGCAACTCCTAGGCATCAAGTTTTCAGTCCTGGGAGTGTGATGCTGTAACAGGTCTTTGGGAAGCAACTCAATACTCTGCGAAGGAAAATTCAGACTCTGACCCTGTCACCTGAACTGCTACTTTGTAGTGAAACTCTCCAGGTCATGACTCGTGGTGATAGCAATGCCTCAACAGGGTTCAGCCTCAGCCTCTCCTGGGAGTTGGCCTGCCCTGCCCTGTAGGCAGCTCTGGCTCCAATTACCCTGGCCAACGTGGCGCAGAACTGTGTCACTCTGAATTATACATGGCCTTTGTTCATCCTTAACCCAAGAGCACTGAAGACAGCAGTGGATCATGTTTACACTCATCCCTCTATTAAAACATTAATGAAGTGGATTAGTGGCTGAAAACTTAGAAAAGGCACCAAAACAAAGCAGAGGATGCAGAGTTAGGCAACACATGAGAGGATGTTTCTGTGTCTTAAAATCTGACTGCATGTTACAAATATGAGACAAAACACAGACCCCCTCATCCCCCAGAATTTTATGCATCTTCCACCCACTCCCCATGCTGACCCGCAGTAATCAAAGAAAAGTGTGCTGCTTTGTGAACTTGAAATCTCACGGGAAATCAAGATGTGCAAAATGGAATGGGAATTGGGTTTACAGCATGGGCTCTGCAGCTGCTACATTATGCAGGCCATCTCACAGGGAACCACAGATATTGCAGAATGACTTCTAAAATAGCAGTTTGCTTTTTGTCATGTTTTATTGACAGTTTTTAAATTAGTTAAAGATTTTTCTGCAGGTGAAATATATTCTTCATGACCACCCATCCTGGTATGTTCTCTCATTAACTCAAGAAATCACAACTTTTATGGGGCTTTTATGACTTCAGATGAAAACTGAAGAATCTACAAGCTTTTTCCCGCCAGCTGCACTTTGTCCACATGATCATTAGGAAAATAAAATCAGGAGCTAGTTCAAGTGTGACCCTTATTAATGCTGAAGAATATGCAATGATTTTCAAGGAACACACTGCTGAGAAAGAAAAGTTTCAGCAGGTTGCAAAATAGTGGACATAAAAGTGTCATTTTTCAGATTAGTCAACCAAAGTCTTACCCATGCTTCAACAGTGCATGTTCGTTTTACACTGTTCTCACAGTTGAAAACTTCGTAGGCTGGTTGCCAAAATAATTCATTAAGTTTGTGTCTCATTAGCCTCAAAAATAGGCCAAACTTAATCATGATATGATGACATGCTTGTAAGAGACAGGTCAGTAGTTATTTACAAGTTATTTGTCATCATGATAAAAGTTACTCATTTATTTCCACAACACAAGGACTTTTTCTCCTAAAATACACAGAATAAAGTGAAAAAGCAGAATTGTCTTAAATTCAGAGTTTAGAGATGTTGTATTTTCTTTATTTATGTGGTTATTTGACAGGGACAATACATTTAGTCATTTGTTACACCTAATTAAAGAGCAACTGATGCAAACTGATGGCTAATTTGCAGTCCTTGTCCCTGGTTAGACAGCTGGAAATAAGGCACATTATACATAAACGGCTAAACAAAAAAACTAACATAATAGCAAACATGACAAGCAGTTATATATTTGCTTAAAAACCAACAGCAAAGCAGATATAAAACAAGCGATCACTTATACACACAAAAAAGTAATTATGTGACACAGATTGAATCAAAGATGTTGGAATATTTAGCGGTCATATTCTAGACTTAAATACACCCTTGCTCACCCCTCCTAGTAGTCAAGTGATGGTGACCTTTGAAGACAAGACGCTCCTGTGATTTGGACAAGTAACATTCTCCATTTGTTTTTCAAATTAGTGCTACAGTAGAAACATGTCAGTGCAAGATGCCAAACTCAATTAAGCATGAATACTTTATCACACTTCTACTGAGTCTGTTCCATAGTCTTTCAAGTATCCTGTTTAGCCAGGAAACTACCGCATTTTACCCCTCTTTCCTACCGTCTTCTCGTATTAGTATTCTTCCATAAATCTCCTGTATTATATGTATATAAAAAAACATTAATCTACCTCTCCAAACTGAACTCTGTCACTAGCGTGTGCTAAGTACCCACTAACTAGTAGTAGTGAGTTGTCATCTGTGATCACATAGACAGTGTTGATTACTCCTCAGTCAGGAAAGTCGCTAGTGGCTGTCCGAGAAGTGGCTAAATGATGTCATTGCCTAATTGGCATAATTTTTGCCCCACCCACCCACACACACACACACACACACACACACACCACACTTTGCCTACAGAGGAGGAGTGAGGAGTCTTCCTCGCTGTGTCTGTACGTGTGCGTATTTTCAGTGCACACCAGCTTCCCGTTAAAAAGAGTAACATCAATACCTGCTTTAATGTCGGAAGTTGCTAAATTAGGTGTTTTTTTGAAAATAAGTCACAAGGGGGTCTGAAAATTCGCTAAATCTACCGACAAAATCGATAGGTTGGCAACACTGCACACCCTAACCCTAACCCAGACAATGTCCCTTATTTTCCAAACCAAAACTTGACAGGTATGTTAATGCTGCTAAAACAGCTTACTGTAGCTTTAATGGGCAAATTCTGTTGTAACAGTTAATGACGTCATTCATCTTTTAAATAAGTGTACCCTTCATAACTGAGACCAGCTGCCTATCACTGCTACTGTGACAGATGGAGAGATGTGGTGAAATAAACGGAGCAAAAGTAAAATGAGTGAGCCAAAAGCTTAAGTGGAGTTATGATACTTTGAGGGAAAATGGTTAAAGGTGCATTAAACAGCCAAGAAGTAGAGGTTGTCTCATCATCAGGATCATCATCTATCAGCGCCACTGAGTTAATAACAAGATTTTACTGTTGTTTATGTTCACAGGATGAAACCCTGAAACAAAAAAATCAATTTGGAGACCAAACAGATTCAGCACCAGCAGCCGTGTGCAGACTACACTTTGTCATGACAGTACCCACACACTGCACACAGAGTAAGAGGACTGAATAAACATGCTGCAAAGTAGGACCAGAGGCCAGGGCTTGTTTGGGTTCAAATAGAGGCCACACACATAAAACTCAAAGATTAAATTCTTGGTTCTTTGCGGATTTATCATACAATGAAACAGAAAAAAGGTGGAACCACCAAACAAGTCCACAGATTTACAAATTAAAAATTATTTGTCTCTCTGTAATGGACAAAAAAATAGGATATTGAGCTGGAACACCCACACTGATGATAGTAGTTCAAGTTGATACATATTGAAAAGCTTATCAAGTCAACTTCATTGACTAATGAGTGTCCATCTGTTATTGTGTGAGCACTTTCAAAACAGCATTCCAGGGAATAGGTCATAGCGTTTTCCTGACCGAGAGCTCAGTCATTATGTTAATTAAGTCTGGCAGTATGATGCCTGCATGTGTAAACTGTCTGTGCTCGCAAATCCAACTCCCTGTAATCCTTCCTGCTGCTATTTTTCGATAGTCTGAACACCACTTAACATTTCTCTGCTGTACTCAACACAGAGTAAGCTAAATGCGGAGGAGCCACACAATACCAGTCAGAGTCTTAGTGGAGGGGCTGGGATTTTTCGGCTTCTTACATCTTTATATTTTGGTGTTGCTGTATAAACAGGTGTGACATAAATCAACTGGACATGGTTAGAATTAAAGCATGCCAAATATAACTGAGTAATTGCTTGTGCATTAGTAAAATATTAACTCTTGATTACTCTTTAAAGTTCCAGTAAGAGGTTTCTGACGTCAATGAAATCAAGTCAAATTCATGGTGATGTTTGTTAATGATATACAAAAAGCAAACAAGCCCATCAGTTACAAGATGGATGATTTTACCCTTATAATTTTTTACGCCTAAAACTGGTGTGAAGGTGTTAGCCAAGCAACTGAAGGTATTACAGCACAAAATATTCACATTAAAGGACTTATTTGCCTTTTAAAAGCCAACAGTATGAATTTTTTGCCAGTTTACTGTTTTAATTTGTAGATGACAAGATAAACAAAGACAGATTTATCCACAAGGGGCGCTAAATCAATACCAACTGAGAGTTCCTCACTGGAGCTTTAAAAACACTTCTCATCTCATTCTGTACGACCATAATTTTCTATAACTAAACCCTTGATTAAGGGGTTTTGCCCTAACAACCTCCAAAGTAATGGTTAGTAAAATCATGTACGTTGTTATGCATTAAAAAAATCTTAACATGCTCACATTAAATATGAATATCATTAAAGTGATAGTAGTCATTCTCCCGTAGTAACAATATATAAATCTAGTCAACTCTTGTGCAGCAAAAACAACAATGAAAGGTGTAAGTAGAGCTCAGGTAACTCAAAACAAAGTATTTTTCACTTTGAATATGTCGCCCTGACTAACGTTAGGTTTTGTTTATGATTATTCTATAATAGTTTTATACTTATGAACCCACACCTTTTTTTCACAATTACATCCTCTTCACACTCAGATAAACAAGAGATAAAGTATGGTAAGCAGGTAAGTCGGGTGAAACCAATACTAAGATATGAAGTTGTCTACTGTGTAGGAGTGTCACTTAAATAGACATTTCCATCCCCGGTTACACAAAACAACGTGTTAAGGTCTTCTGTGTGAATTCAAATGTTGACGTTTAACCTCACCCTGGTCTGTTTTCTCTCAGAGCTTTGCAGTCAACACACCCTTTAAAAATAAATGAGGAGAACGACACAAACTTAAACATTTTTTATTATCACTAACCCTAATGTTTTTTCCTTGTAGTGATAAAAAAAGAAGATTACCATGACGCTAAGAAAACTGACATCTCTTTCTGTTAATGGTGTTAACATGCAGAAGTAAAAAGTGCTGGAACTATTTTCAGCAGTTTAAGTTCATATAACATGCGGGAACTGCTTGTCTCTGGTGTTGTTCTAGTAATACAGAGTTAATAACTCTTGTCAAAGGGCTTCAACCAATCGAAGTATCGAAGAATCAATACTTGGTAAATGAGACGATATGATTTATATCAACAGACAAAATATTATGATACAATGCTGCATTGATTTTTTCTCCCTCCCCTAGTGATCAGCAAGACACCCAGCAAATTTTCCTGTCAAAATGCATCTAAGTTATGTTATACAGGAAGTGTGAAATTATGCAGTAGCCTGATCAGCTAAAAAAAAAAAATAAAAAATACATTCATATTGACCTGAGAAGGTTTTTAATGTGGAGTCTAGATTATTGAATTTACCCTTCCTCTAATTTCAGATTTTCAATTTATTTAAGATAGCTCCTTGAGATGCAGCATCCCGTTTTCGAAATCAGCACGTTATGCAGAATGGCAAAAACACAGGGATATCCTTTGTGTCCTTCTGCACACTAAAAACCTCAGTAAGCTATCAATTATACAGCATGTTTATGCAGAATAATTCTTAAACCTTATCATCCAGAGACATGTTTAAAAATTACTTCAATGGTCCATCAGTAAAGGAGCTATGTAGACTTGTCTCATAAGACTTCCATGTCTTTTAAGGTATAATACGTGACAGTTGCAGCATTTGTTTGTCCAACTTAATTAAGAATCAAAGTGTTGTGCACAACTTCCTTACTTGCTATTTGCTGTAATTACGAGGTTATTCATGTAAAACACTTAGTTAATGGTTTAGTAGGAGTAGAATATGGTCATGCAAAATAAGGTGTTCACAAGTGTAGTCTTACTCGTAATTAAGAGCCAATATTCTACTAAAATACACTCTAATAAACAGCTAAATAATAGTTAATATGTGGCCTAGAATACAGTCACACAAAGCGGGGACAGAGGGAACATTTTCACCCCAGTGTGGCATCATTATGTCCTCTTTGACCCGCCACAGAGCTAATTTGCATCGCTTATGAAGACAGGAGCCAAAATAATTACTATTCCCCGTGCTATAATGTTGTTTGTCACCCAGTCCTCCAGCATGGTTAGCATTACAAAGTATATTTCTGGCACCATTTAAGAGCCGTAGAAAAATATAAAGGAATCCAAACGTCGATTCTACTCAAAGTTGCATACTCTTTTAATGTTAGTGCATTCGGGGTCTCTGGGGTCATACAGCAAACACTTACTGATGGAGATGTAAGAGCTGCATATGAGGTGAGATGCGCATTACTAACTCAATTTGAGTGGTGTGCACAGTGGGGCCAGTTGGCAGCCACGCTAGCAGCTTGGCTGGGCTTTGGCTACCTTCTTTGTTGTTGATGTCTGCCTGGCCAGCACCCCTAATGCAATTCATTATGGGCTTGCATATGACAACACTTAGAACCAGTGATTAATGCATTTGCAGTCTTACTGAGGGGACTACGGTATTGTTGCCAGCTTAGCAACATTGCATCCTCACAGGCCCAAACTTGCCTGTTTTTAGGGCAAATGCAAAAAGCCTGGGGGGATGAAAGTGAGAGTATTATATCAATAGCCCAGAACACAGTGGCCTAAATGCACATCAGGAGTTTGCTTTTGTGAGTCGTCAGCAGTTTTCAGAAGTCAGTGGTTCCTTTGGGGAGCTGAGCTGCAGACTTTTGCCAGCCAGATTGCAGACAGAGAATCATTTGATTTACAGAAACTTTCTGTTTGGAAATCTTTTAAGTAATTACAGAAAAAGCCACACTGTGATTTACACCTTCTATGCTTTGCTTGAGCTGTCTATAGGCCTCTCACTTCTTGAAAATTCCTGTGTTGAGTCAGAAGATTTGTGCCATCACTATATAAAAAGAAAAGAAAAAAAAAACAGCTCTGTGAATATACAGATTGACATTTCACACCTCATACAACCTTGGAACGATGACAGAAATAAACGCTCCCACTCCTTATCTGTGCTCTGTTATACATAACACCCAAACACCTGAACATGTACAGTTTCTAACATGCCCTTAAAAACCCATGAGCATGTGTCAAAACATGGCAAGAGGCGGCCATGTTATTCTGTCAGTTTAAGCAAAAATCATGTAATGCGTCAAATCTAACTCTGATCTGAATATGATGCGAGTCATGTGAGGCTGAACTGTCAGATCTGTTTATTTTTGTCCCTGCAGCTCCCACGTGTGAGCTTTCACTTATGAGATAACTTGCTGTCTGTGTCCTTTGTGAGGACATTAGCATTAACACACGTAAGGCTGACCTTCACTGAAAACAACTCCAGACCCCTGCGGACAAAAGAGTCAAGATGCTTTGTCAATGTAGACATGGTGCTGGACAAGCGTTTAGGTTATGCAATATGGCTGACTTAAAAACAAACCGTATTCACAGAGATCTGATCACTTTTGACAGTTTCCGTTTTTATCTAGGACAAATCTTGCTGTGCCCCAAGAATCCAGTACCTCTGGATGCTGAAACAAATCAGCTCCATGTTCGGCGATCTCTCCCAAAGCAAACTACTTCTGAAGAGACTTGATGCTCCCCTTTGTCTTGTGTTGTCCCTTAGATATGTAAGCACACATTCGCTTTGCCTCGTACACTCCAGCACACCAAAACTTTGGCCCAGTTGTTATCTAACTCAGCGCACCAAGCTGAATCACTGCTGTAGACTATAGTAAGGGGCTGAATATTTACATGGGGAAGGGAATAAGGCTAGAGGTGTCGGACTCATTTGAATAACCCTCAATAAAATGCATGATTTATGATATACAGTACGTGGCAAGTAAGAAATAAATAAATACGATCATATAAATAGAAGCTGCAAATTGATCGATTTTGACTACCACGCAGGATAGAGGTCAGCACTCAGTTTATAGGCACAGTCAAACGTGGAACCATAGAAACAGAAAGCTAAAATTCCTAACATAAGTTGTTTAGTTTTAATTTCTACTTTTGAACTCAACAGCTTAAAAAAGGCTCCTTTTTACGCCCAAGCAAATGTTATTTTCCCACATTACACACATACATTTCAGATCCTGCATGCAAGAGGAGTGGAGGAAGAAAGAGACAAAATTAGACCAAGTGGGAGAGAGGGGGGTTTCCCCTCCTACAGAGGAATATAAATAGAGCAGAGCAGTGTTATGGTAATGGGTTTGTCATAATACTATTGTATCTTGTGCACAGATACGGGTTTTTTGGGGGGTAAAAGCTTCTGATGTTGCAACTTACCGTTTGGAAGCTTGTGACTGTTCTCCATCAGCCACGCAAACAAGTTGGCAAAGTTGCAGTTGCATACCCAGGGGTTGCCCTCTAGCCTCACAACCCGCAAGGAGGGCAACTGACTCAGTGCCCCCACCTTCAGGGTGGATAGTGCATTACGCTCCAGTTCCAGTTCTCTGAGAGAGGTGAGGCCGAGAAAAGCCTCCTCGCTCACCATGCTTAGGTAAGGGTTGTTACCCAAACGTAGTTTGATCAAGCTCCGGGACTCCCCGAACGTCCCCTTTGGGATTTCAGTCAGATTGTTGCTCCCCAAGTCTAGGAACACCAGTCTGGATGAGGTGCTGAGAGTCCCCGGTTCTATGTGTGAGAGGGAGTTGTTCCGGAGGTCAAGGTAGACCAAGTCACTGTACAGAACCAGGAAGTCCGAGGGGATGCGGGGTATCCAGTTGTCGGCCAGCAAAAGCCTGCGCACATCCAAGGGGATCTCATCGGGTAAACGGGTCAGCCCACGGCCGCTGCAGTCCACAGTGTGAGGATCTGGGCACAGGCAGGTTGCTGGGCAGTTTTCCCCCAGGGTCCATAACACAGAGGACAGCATGATCAGGATAAGTTGGAGCCAGCAGGCACATGGCAACATGGTCAAGGGGGTGGAAAGAGATACGGGGGAAAGAGGCTTGGGATAAGGGTGAGTAGGAAGAGGAGGGTGGGGGATAAGAACAAGAGGGTGAGGGTCAAAGGGCAGGAGATCAGGACAAGGGAGAAGAAGGGGGAAGTGAAAGGGAGTGGACAGGGATCAATCCTTGGGAGGAAACATCATGTCGACGCAGAGATAGAAATCTTGAAGGACTCAGGAGTTGTGAGACAGCAGAGCAGCAGCGAAAACTGGTTTCCAGAAGATCATATAGCAAGCTGCTAGGATAAAACAGCAGACTGCCCGCTTTGGAGGAGCAAAGAGAGGGAGATAGTAAGCAGTGAGGAGCAGGAGAGCAAGAGAGACGGAGCTTCACAAGGAGGGGAGGGTCGCTAAGAGGAGGTAAATAGACACGAGCGTGCCGGGAGTGATGAGAAGCCGGGGACACAGACAAGGGAGAGGGGGGTTGAGGAGGGGGCTCCGTCCGCCACGCTACCCCACAGTTGATCCAGCGGCAGTGACAGACGAAGACAAAAAGGTCTCTGACACAAAAGGAAATATGAAGCCGTGATTCAAGCATGACAAGCAAAGAGAAACATCATTGCATCCCTCCATTAGTCCGAGGTCTCAGTGTCGGTCTGAAACGAGAGAGACAGCAGCTCACGGAACATTGCTCAAGTGTGTGTAAGGTTGTCCCCCCTGATTATTGCCTCTCTATCTCCCAGTGCCAGTGAAACATGCTGTGAAAAACACAGCCGGCTCACTCCTGCTCCATACAGCTCCGTATCAAGGCTTCGTTGCTCTGCAGAGAGGCTCCAGATATCCAGGCAGCAGCCTCATGGATGCAGATGGCAGAGCTGAGCTGCACACAGCCATGCCAATCCAACGTCTGCCTCTGAATCTACCACCGTTTATCTCATGCCCTCTCCCCTCTTCTTGTTTCCAGGGAGGCGTGCCTGAACCACGCTGTCAACATATGATGTCACTTCCTATAGTGTAGAGAGATGATGAGCAGCTGTAGCCTGTCTACAAAAACATGAACTATAGAAGGCAGTGAAAAATGGTGCTGCTGATTTTATCTCAAACCTTTTTTTACCGTCTGTCTTTGAAACATTTCAAAAGAGAGTGACTTAGACAAATATCTTACAGTCTGCTTATCTTCCATTGACTTACACGATATCCTTTTATCTGATTTGTGACCCTCAGATAATAACACACAACAGATATCTGCTTAACCACAGAGGTTTGTTTGGCTACACCAGTATAGACGATAAATCTCTAATGATGATGTTGTGCAGCTGAAAGCGAGCTAGCTAGTATCCATCTGAGAGATGATAGCGCATTTTTAAAAACTGTCAACTCAAGAATTCAACAGATTTTCATTCAGTTTATATATATATATATTTCAGGTATATATATATATATTTCAGTTTGTCCTTACATACCTTTATCATGTTGTTAAATCATCTTTCATCTTTGTTTATATCTTTAAACTTTAAAAAAAAATGCATTTCTCATTTATTCTCCTTCATTTCCTCTTATTTTGAATTTTAAAGCACTTAGTAACCCTGTTTAAAGAAGTATAAATAAAACTATATACATTATTGTATTATGATGTAATTGCATTTTTTTAGATAAGTTGAAGAAGTTTTGTGTTGCCCTTTGTCTTGCCTCCCCTCAGTTTGAATGATTGTGCTGATTAATCTTGAATTGTTTAGGATAATCATTATTGTAATGTTTTATAGCCACAATAACTGTGAGCTGAAAATCTTATGTTTCGACAGCCCTACTTATTTTACTGAAAACTCTGCCTTGTTAAAAATAGATCCAGTGAGCTCCATCTTAGCTCATACATTCTTACATATTAACTACCCACAGTTCTGGCATAAGCACAAAGACACTGTAGAAAATAACTTGAATAATGACATCTGTTTTTGTATTATTATCAGTCTGAACGTTTTACTCACCTTAATAACTTTGACGTTCTTAGGTGTAAAAATACAAGTGCGATGAGTCATAAACCTTAATGCAAAGAAGACAATTAATTCAGAGTGTATACTAAATTTCCCAAATAGGATTTCATCCAACCAGTAAATGCAATTATGCCAAGGTTGTAGCAGAGTGCCAGCGAATTACAACTGTAAAGACGAGGGTAGCGTGAAATTTATAAGGAAGTAATGTTGCCATGGATGGTAATTGTGCACTCCTTCCTCCAGGCTTTCACTCAAGTCACACAGACATGCAGCTTCGCCACAGCTGTTGACTCGGTGCCACCTGGAAGAGAGCAGTTATCCCATCAGAAAATAAGATTTTGATCAGAGTCAGCACATATCAGCAAAAAATACTGAAACCTGGCTTTAATCCTTTGATACACCCACATTTAAACCTTTCAATTCATCATATAAGCTCACCACAATCAGCTGAGTCTGAATAATGACAAACCATTTTATGTGTTTTCTTACTTTGAAAAGCAGTAGTGGGCTACTGTAGAGTTTTCTCTAGGCTGATTCACTTATTCTATCAAATGGGTGACATCTGACTTAATGTGCAGGTTTTCTTTGCAAAAATAACAAGATGTGTGTTGAAACGTGACAATGGCTTCCTGTCAAGCTTGCATTGAAACCCCAGATAGGTTTGCAGCTTCAGTTTACTCAGAAGTGTTGAAAGCTGACCTCACATTTTTGGCAAGTGCATCTTATAACAGCCTAAAAGATGTTGCTTGGGTGGCCGCAGAATATAGAGTAACCCAAGCTCTGGATATGTGACCATTCAAAGCTTGTATTTGATAATCATTGATAGCGGCACATTCAAACTGATCACAGAGTTGGCGACTTTTAAGTTCCTCTTCTATCTGCATTCATTAGCTGCTACTGCAAGCTTAAGATCGCTAACTTTGTAAATATGTTGTTAATTCACCCACCTTGCACAAACCAAAGTTTCACATGCAGAGCCTGAAATACAAGCTTGTTGTATCACTTTCCACAAGTGACGCAACTATGCTGCACGTGTTCTGCAGGTGTTGTGAAATATCTGTTTACGGTGCAGACTCTTGGTGCTTTTCATGTGTTCTAACTATGTGCTTCCCTATGTCAAGCAATCTAATCCCTCAGAAGAAATTAGCGAGAAAGCAATGCAGCCCTTCGTGTGTGAATAATCTGTTGCATTACTCTTGTAATATTCCTAAAAGAGCCACAGAGAAATATAAAATCATCTTTATCATTTTAAAGATACAGAAACCTGAATGTGGATGAGCAGCACACACAGTTGAGAGATTCACAACTGTTACCATTGTGGATCTTGCTAAGTGACTAATGCTTTCGCTAATATTAGTCATCCAGTTGTAGTAGATTTTTTTTTCATTGTTGTATTTTTAACTACTCACAGCTGCAGGGATGGAAATACAGGAAAGGCTTTTCTTGGAAAAAGGCACGGATTAATCTAGACCACACATTTCCCCTGCCCCGGCTGTCAGTTGATTAATTGTTAAGCAGCTCAGATGAATTGGACTTAGAGATACTTAAAATGGAGATGGCTCACATTGAAATGCAAGTAGAGGACCAACACTGGCAGATATAATGGCCTCTCTGTTTCTGAGGGTAGTCGTGCAGATGTCCAGTCCCTAAACGCAGTCCCAAAAGTCTTTTGACAGCAATTTAATGGTGTAAAAAGCCTTGACAACGTTTTTTGAAGCGAGGGAGTGTACCCCTCAGACTGCCGGCAAGTTTGTCATTCAGGCAGATGTGAGCTGCATCACAATGACTGAGCATTAGCAATGACAAACTCCATTTAAAAAAAATTCTAATAAACTAATCAGTAAGTGGAAACCCAGCCAAGAAAGCAGTATGCTTTCTTTGGGGGTAGTAACTTTTGCTGATCGATGAGACCAGTACACATAGCTTTTGTAACTGTTGTTTTTGTTTCATGTTCATTTGCAGGTGCAGGACTAACAGCAGTAATCTGGTTTATTACAATACTAGCAACTTATTTGGTAAAAAACATTGACTCAGCAGACATATTTAACAAAAAAAAAGCTCATATCTGAAAACTGTCCTGCACGATTACATCATTCTGACTTCACCAGCAGACCCATACAGTTTATACTCATCCAACAACAGATCTAAGCTTGTTGTTTTCTTTTGGATTTTTGGTCAAAATATCACAACTAACAGAAACTACTGCTAGCTAACACTAGCTATGCTTTGAGTTAGCAGTCTTGAGCTGTGCTGGTACTTGAAATGAGCCAAACTGCGCAGTCAGCATCACCAATTTCACTGACCAATGTTAAGTAGCAGTATTTAGCATTACTACCCTGCAAACTATTGCCAAGCAATATACTGTGGAGTTAGATGATAAGCATTGTTACTCTAATTTATTTCTGCTTTTAGATGCCACCAGGAATCTTAAAAATCAGCCTGAGGCAGCAGTTAGCATTATCACCTCCTCTGACAGCTGCAGTTATACTCACTTTAACTCACTTTGCTCTGTCACTACGACTCTGTAGTACTATATAAGGCAGCCTATCACTGCGCAGTAATTGCAAACACTCCAGCTGACTATTGCTAGCTAATACCAGATTACAAATGGCCTACATATGTAGTTAGCATGCTAGCCAAGCAGCCTGTAGCTGTGTATATAGTATATTATGATCACTTATCCTAACTACCTAAAGCTGCTACTCGTACATTTACTATGCAGCCTAAAGCTACATAAATATTGTTCGTCTGATATCCTACAGCCCCACAGTTTTCTTACCCCTGCTAAATTTGCAGTTAATTGCTCCACATTTTGGAGTGGATGAATAAAAACCACGCCTGAAACAAATACTTAGAAAAAAAAACTGACCTATTTTTCTTCTTCTTTCTCAAACTGTCTCTCAGTGAAGTTCTTCTTCCTTTTATTATTCTCTGTAAATTGGCTCTCTCCACTGGTTTTCTTCCTCCTCTGTAGTCCTCACCTAAAGGTGAACAAAACAAAAAACAACAGTTCTACCTTTTAAAATGCCTGAAGGAAATTACAGGTTAAAAACCAAGGCACACCCTGTGATTTTAATTTAGTTAACACTAAAAATTACACTAATAGTCTACAGCTCATTTAACTTCTTTATTCAACTATTTGTGTGTTACTTAAACTTGGTGCATAATGCTGATTTTTCAGCATCCTTTGAACCTCAAATCAAAAGACTTGATTTGGTTTTTGCCTCATTACCCATATGACTGATCCATCATGTTAAGTCTATTTCTTTTACTGATCACAATAACATGTTTCAGGGGAAAACTACATAAATTGCTTGCTATTAAACCAGTTGCATGGTATCCTTCACTTCAGCCTGTTAGTACTCAGAAAAAACAGACAAAAAAAAAAACTAAAAATTAGAGTCTGTTATTTACTGTTTTTTTTCCACTCTGAACAATAAAGACTTTGTATCTTTGGAGTTTCATCTCTTGGGGTGTTTTGTTTTCCTCATCTCCAAATGACTTTGACTCTGCTTGGCTTGTTGTGTCTTCCTAAAAGTGACAGTGTGATGGGCCTCTGTGCATGCTTGATCGATCTGAGTTTTAAAACTAGACGCCTCATTAATGATAATTTCCACTGACTTTCAGAGCGCTGACAATAAAGAAACAATCTACTGAAGCCGCAGTGAACTTTATGAATTTGTTATAACCATATGAACTAATTTATGTATGTTTTTTTTTGTTTTGTACAGCTAGTCCTCTGTGTTGCTGGGTTGCCTGGTGCTCAGCATTTTAATTATATTGTCTTTAAACTAGCTTTGATTTATTTGTTTGTGCATGTGTCTAAGCCTTGCAAAAAACAACCATGAATACGTCAGTGAATGCACTTATGGATAAATGTTTCATCTGAGATGTGAACATTTATCGTATGTTTTAAACAAAGTCAAACCCAGAATTTGGCTCCATTGGATGTGAAATGATTTACACAGATATACATAGGAT